ACAGTGCAGTGAATTTTCCCCTGGACCACCGGGGGCTCCCACGTGCTGAAGTGGTAAGTGGCTGAACATAGCTTGCTGATGGGAAGTAGAGAATAAACCTTTTTTTTCTCTTTGCTTGTGTGCATGCAAACTTTTGCTTTAGTAAACTGCCTTATCTCAATCTATGAGTTGTTTTCCATCTTATTCTCTCTCCCCTGTCCAGTTGGGAAGGGGAGTGGTAGAGCGGCTTGGTGGGCACCTGGTGTCCAGCCAAGGTCAACCCACCACACCCTTGCAAGATGCTTTTTCCAAGGTCTATGCACAGTTCTTAGGAGGAAGTAATCTTGCTGAGAGTCCCTCACACATACTGTACTCCCCCTTTTGGATTTCTGCATATTAAAAACCATCATTTTTTTCCTTTTTTTTAACGAAGTGAGATGCAACAGCTTTTCAACTTTAAAACTCAAACTTTTTAACAGATTCTTCTGGAAGCCTAAAACACGAGTCACCCTTATTTCAATTCAGATTTTTCTGAGTTGTAGAAAGCACAATAATGGTGAAATGCCAATATTTTTCCACTATATTTGAATTTTTAAAAACCCATCCTTTCTTCCAAAAAAAGTGTTTACACAGAAAGAAATATTGATTCTCAGACTTGCTCTCATGCCAATTTCATTCAGAGTTAATTTGCATGGTCAAATTTGAAATTGTTTAAAGGAAAAACTCACCAACAGTAGATCTAGCAGAACCTATTACAGGACTCAAAGATCAGCCTCTTAGTCCATGAATGCTATCTATTGTTTAAGAATGGCAAAACCTTAAATGCCAACAGAGAGGCTCAGTCATTAAAAGATAAGAAATTGCTCTTCATCTGCATTAACTCAAAAATCCTGGCATTCTCTTGAATTAAGGAGCCCAGGATTATGACTGCTCAGGTCATTGAGGAGATTCTCAGTAGCACTCATGAAGTTTAGATTGAACCTGTATTTTCAGGTATAAATTAACACCACAGAAAGCATTCAGAATAACATAACTTATATTGTGCTTAGCTCCAATGGAGCTCACAATACTTGTATCCAAGTATCACCAGTAAGATCTCAACTCCCTAATCTTTCTTGAGAAGAAAAGCAAGCCTGACAGTATTTTAATGCACATGACATTTGAGTTCAGCAGAGAGAATTGACTCTCTATTGCACAACCGATCTGTTTGTAACTTCATGGCATTATTATGTATTCACTGAACATTTTCTTTACCAATTTAGCTATTTACCAATTTCAGAGCCAGTGATGTGGATGGTTAAAAAATAACAACAAAACCCTGCATTATTTAAATGGCAGACTACTGTATTCTTAAATGTGGCATTTCAATTTTCAGACCGCGCACAAGCAAACTGTTGGCTGTTATACTACATGCATTGATAGAAGGTTAAGAGCCAAATTATGTATAACCTTCGTACGTGAAGACCACATTAACTGTCACTAAAAATTTTAGAGCATCTCTATTGGCAAAGTTATTTTTCAGACTGGTTGAAAATCAGTCCCAATAAAAAGTAATGTTGAGACAGTAACCAACGCTACAGCTGAAGTGTCCAAATACAATAAGACTAAGGGGAACACAGGCTACCTGTAAGACTCTTTTGCATCAATACATACAGACTTTTTCAAAAGTAAAGTCAAAAGTTTTTTCATGCTTATGTCCTGATACTCAAGTTCAAGCATCAAATTAAACCTCTTAGCTTTTGACTGTGTGCAGAGGACATTCATGCAATGAATTTCCAGTAATGTTTTTTGATACCTTGTAATAATTTCTAACTACATGTTCATTCCCTAAATTTTGAGGATATTCACAATGTAATGTCAAGTGCACTAAAATGGCTTTCTAGTAAAAAAAAGAATTTGAGTACTTTGCCAGTTCCAAGAAGAAGGATTGCAGATGGCATGTGAACTTACCACTGCAACAGAGCTGGGAGTCCTACTCAGACTCACAGTTCCACTGCATCTGTTAAGATCACAACATTTCATTAACCCACAAGTAGCATAGCTAACCTTGTCCTTATCTCTATAGAGAATGTTTTTCTCTTGTACTTGGAAACCGTTTCCCACAAACCAAAGTTGTTTCTATTTAAAGGAAAATCGCAATGTGGCAGGTACACATTGCACCTAATTGCAGCAAAAGGACAGCTCAAACGTTTTAATGTCATAAATCGAATTTAGCATCAAGCAGATGATACATGCTATGAAATAAGAATAAACGTCATTGTTCCTCAGCATGGTTTGTGCACTCCCACATCTTGCATCACAGGCAAAATTGGGCCTTAGTGTAATCATCACTAAATAATCAAGTTCTTCTGTGCACTACAATAGGACCTCTTCACTGCAAGCATCTCATGGTTAAGACCAAGAGCTCAAATATAAAAGAGCCTAGTGACACAAAGTACCCTAAAGTGGTTTCAGGCCTCTGCAATGGAAGTCAGAAATCTAAGCAGATCTGAAAATACCACGTGGTGCCTTTCTGGGTCACAAGATCCTTTTATGACATAAAAAAAGAATATAACCTGGGGGATTTATTGTGTAAGTTTGGGAGGGTTTGGGAGGTGGGGAGAAACCTATCCCAAAACTCAATGAAATAGTCTTTGACAGGCTTTAAATTCATCTTTAATTTCCCAGCAAAGTGTAAATATAGTAAATAAAAAGGCACAAAACTATGAAAGCTAGAAGTCTGACTAACTACTAAATTGGTAAAATACTTTTAGATCTCTATTAAAAGTTTACTACACAATAATTAAAAGAGACTATGCTTTTCACAGACTTTCTAATAATAAACATTTGCACTTTGTGCAACCTGCTTCCTAGCAATATGTGGGAAAAATGCCAGTTCTCATGGTGACAGAATCATTCACCATAACCAAGTCAGTTAAAACAGTTACTTGTAAAATTCATCTAGCAAACATTAGTTCAGCAACTTAAGACTAATTATTGCAGTTTTCCTTTCAATGTTCTTGCCCTACGGAAGCTGATATTTATCTCCAAAAAAACCCAAACTTCTAACACATGAGGCAAAAAGGCATGTAATCCAGTAAAAATTGGGAAGCAAAAAAGTTTATTTTTATGTGATTTTATTTTTGATTGCCATATGATGATATGATGATGGTTCTATGGTATAATATGCTGCAATAATTCTTCACACAAAACTTGTCCACAGCACTTGGGCTAATAAAATAACAAAGACTCAGCAGACAAAAATCTTGAAGAATTAATCTTTCTTTTGCTAATAAAATGATGAGAAGGCCCATATAATTTGCTGCCTCCTATCTTAAAACAGATGTTTCAGAAAATTAAAAATATAGAAATTATAGATCCTTGTGACATAGCAAAAAGGTAACCGCTTTGTTTAAGATGTTGAAAATGTAGGTGTGGATATAGCTTGGGCACTTGTGTAAACAAATTCATATTTATATCTTAAAATATGTAACCAGTTGCAATCTGCAAAAACTTACAATAAGGCTAAGCAGGTTTGTCATGCACTGAAACATAGAGCTGAAAGCACAGCATAAGTGCAATAATGAACAGGGCCTTATTGTAACACAGGCAAGAGGTATGCCATGTTATTTCTAACACAGTTGCAAAGCTGTGGTCTTAAGATATTAAAGCAAAGCTGGCCATTTATCTTAAGAATGTATTTATTAGATTATCACCATCTAATGGGATTTGACAGCACTGATAGTAACTCACATAGGCTTACAATGAAAAAGATCTGAAAATTCCAGGATTCAAAGATAGTCCTTCCTCCAATTTACCATTTTTATGCTTTGTTGGTGTGCAAAAGTGAATTGAAACCTCAGAACAGATTTTAAAATTTGCCCATGTCTTGTTAATACACTGCAGTCTTCAAATTTACACAGAGCTGCAGTTCTCCTGTTTTTTTCTCAAGTGTCACTCATCTAATTTAGCATGACAGCTGAGAAACGATGTCAGATGTGTTACAGTTCAGTTTAAAAAACATCCTCTACCTGGTATCTCTGCAGTGATTGTCTTGCTGCTCCTTGAAACTTCATCATCATCTGATGAACCCGTGCTTGAGTCACACGTCAGGTCACTATCACTGGTACTGCTGTCCTGCAGCAGGTTGTACTTCTTGCGAGCAGCTGCCTCCCGTTTCTGTCTCAAGAGCCGGATTCTTTCTTTGTGCTTTTGGCTTCGATGACCCTTTGCTTTGGTAATTCTACCATTCTGTTTATTACTAGACTGTCTGTTTTTCTTGGCAGCCATTGTTGAAGTTTCACTTTCAGACCTGGATCTCCTGGATTTCCTCCCAACTGCAGCACCAGACACTGCAGAAAGGTGTCCCCCTACAGCAGCTTGAGCTTGACAAGGTTCATTCTCTTCTGTGGAAGACAATGTATCAGAGTCAGCCAAATGCCCACTGGAAGAAGGCGAAAGCATGCAATGGTTAGAAGAGTCACTCTCATAAACTCGACCATCCGTTGGCTTATCACTCTCTGTAGATGCCAGTTGAAACTCTGAAGAGTCTCGCCTCAGTTCCATCAGTAAGCAAGGCATTGAAGAGAGCACCACAGAGTCTGCTGCAGTGTGCACATTGTCTTTCTGAGTTTGTGTCCCAAGTTCTATAGATCCACATTCATGAGGAGCAGTCTCTTGCTTTTCAGAAGTCTTTGGTGGAAGTTCTGAATCAACAAGTTCTGCTTTTCCCACTGCCTCCATCTTCATTTCAAAACACCAAGGTCCTCCTGGTCTCAAAGCATGGAGCACATGGTCTGGAAGACTGGGTGAACTAGATATGGTCTTCAGCAATACAGCAGCCTGCACAAGAATAGAAGAGTAAGAATAATTTACCCAAATAACTCAGTCCTGCTCTTCACAGTATTACCTAAACAACTCATTGCTTTCAGTTACAGACAGTATGGTTCATAGAATCCTAGAATGCTTTGGGATGGAAGGGACCTTAAAGGTCATCTTGTTCCAAGCCCCCTTCCATGGGCAGGGACACCTTCCACTAGACCAGGTTGCTCAAAGCACCATCCAACCGGGCCTTGAACACTGTCAGGGATGGGACATTCCTTGGGCAACCCATTCCAGTGCCTCACCACTCTCATAGGGAAGAATTTCTTCCTAATATCTAATCTAAACCTGCCCGATGTCAATTTGAAGCCATCGCACCTTTTCCTATCCTTCCATGCCCTTGTGAAAAGTCCCTCTCCAGCTCTCTTGTAGCCCCTTTAGGTGCTGGAGGGTGCTCTAAGGTCTCCCCAGGGCCTTCTCTTCTCCAAGCTGAACAGCTCCAACTCTCTCAGCCTGTCTTCATAGGAGAGTACAGTACTGGGTTTTTTTCATTTTCTTTTTTCTAGTGAAGTCATTGTGTTACACCAAACTATTATTACTTTTACACACTCATTAAAGATGGTACTGGAGTCACATTAAATTTGATTATTATAGTGAGGTAAATCAAAACAGATCAGAAAATAAAAATATTTCTAAAGTCTTACTTTATAAAATTTAATATATTATAAGCAACATATGCTAAACTTCTTTACCTAGAACTTTAAATTTACTTTAATGCAGAATTTTAGTCCTTATGAACAACAACAGCCTGAAATTCCTAGACTTGGTAGTCATCCACCTGGACAAACCAGAATATAGTTCAGTTTCCATATGTATGAGAAATCTACTTTTGATGAACAGGACCTCAACCTTATAAATTATATCACAGAGTTTTAACGGCAATTTGCAAAACTTACAGTATAATCGTGACATAGGGGAAATATTGTCACTTTTAGCCCAGAGAGCAAAGAACAGAGCTTGACAAGAAGCTAAAGGGCAGCCAAAGTGAACTAGAGACTCTTTTTTTCACAAATGTCCTACTGAAACAGAGCAGGGCCCTGAAGGAGTTAACTCAGAATGTAAGTTCTGGGTAAAGAACTAAAGGAATCAGAATTCAAGGCTAGTGGAAGACAACACCTGGCCAAAGAATGCTAACACACTAACACAAAGAACATAAAGTAAGAACACAGGGAAACAAAGAACACCAAAAATGCTAACACATATACCTAAATAGACATAAGGAAGGGTTCCTTATGGAATAAGTGGCAAAATAGGGGTATGAATCCAAAATCTTACAAAATTCACCATCAGGAAGACAGCCAACTAAGAAAGTTGAAAAGTTCAAAGCGAGGAAGACTTCTGGAATGGGACCCCCTGAGGATGAAGAAACAGGAACAACCCCCGAAACAGCACCCCAAAAGGACAACTCTGCCCAGACTCCGCCCAGGCTCTGCCTGCTATGAATATTATAATGAAATGTTGCAATAATATGAATATGCATGCAAAATATGATGTAATCTCTCACAAAACTGTATAAATACCTGACTTTATAGTGATAACTTCGGGTTAGTTTTGTCCAGCACGAGTTGGCTAGCCCCCAACATTGCCTAAAATAAATACCTTTTGCTGCTTAAAGACTCAAAACTGTCTCTGAGCAGTTTTCAATGTGTCTTTTCGGGCATCACTACTTGGAAATATCATCTACATTGCAGCTCCCAAAGGGACTATAAGAATACCTGTACTTGCCTTTCCATCTCTCTGGCCTATCAGCCAGGAAAAATGTCTCATCTACACATTGCCACTTTGCTAACGGTCTAATAATGTTTTTATAAGATTTTTTTATTAAGTAGGAACTTCAACTACTCAAACTATGCTGGTTTGATCCCTCATACAGCAATCAATTTTCAGTGAGATGGCAGCACAGGGACTAGTAATTTCACAACACTATATCTGGTCTACATTGATGTGTTTCTGTGTGCGTGGAAAAACTACTTGGTCTGGTGAGGTTTGTACTCTTCAGGTCCCTTGAACTGGCTATTTAGACATCAAAAATTCGAGTATTAGTATGTATATAAAATAGAACTTTGCCTTTACCTCAGTGGAAAAAAGTCTACTGTGACAAACAGACTGATGCAAGGAACAACGCAGTTTGGAGGAAAATATCTATGCCAAGAAAAGCCTTATCTCAAAGAAAGAAAAAAATTTACTTATTAGTTCTACTTGAGACATTTATAGATCACAGAGAGGAAAAGAGTATACTGAAAAATTCACATTCCTTTCTTGCCACTCCCTTTTCTAGTAACATACTAGAAAAGGTAATCTCAAGGTGATGATAAAGACCAGTTTTTTACTTAAATGAGAACACAGCACTGAAAAATAAGTTGTGATGCTTACAGACACAGACAGATACTTAATTAGACATTTCTTAGAAATGTCATTCTGCTTTTACTGATGCATCAATACTGCACGGATTTGAAAAGGCAATTCTGTAAAAACTTCTGTGCTAGATTTTTTTAAAAGAAATTATTTTATTTTCCAGCCACACATAGAACACACCAGCATGCAGAAGCCATTAAACATCCAACTGTACCACTGTCTGGGAAATATTTTTTAAATAGTGGACTCATTTGTGAAACCATATGATTTGTACACTATAAAACCTGCACTTCCGCTGAAGAAATTCAGAAGGATTTTGAAGGTCAGATTAGCAGACAGTCCAGCCTCTCTCACTGTCACCAACAGGGATGGGCTTTATTCCCCTAGTCTTTTACCACCCTAATTGTGAGTGCACAGTCATGTTCCCTCCTTTGCACCAGAACTGGTTCATTCTTTCATGAGTAGAATTATTTCAATAAGCCAACAGAAAACAAAATGAGAAAATAAATGAAATTTTCTGCAAGAGCTGGCAGGAAGGAGGGAAGGGAGAGATTGATAAAAAAACCTACCTGCTGTTTGATCTCATCACACCTTAAACTCACAGGTTCTGACTAGACACAGGAGAGAGTACTGAGTGTTTTTTTCACAGCACTGTTTGCTCTGAGACTTCTGAAGATAAAAATTATTACAAAATAAAAAAAAAATTCAGAAGTGTTAGTAGCTTCCTAAAGTACAACTATCATGTAATATATACTACTGCCCAAAGTTATATAGAAGATAGCATACATGCCCTTCAGTAATTCAATAATTGGCCACTCATACATACTTTATAATATTTTTGTTTGGTTTGCTCTCAGTAAACACTCTTCTTTATAATTGTATATCCTCCAATGTCAGAAGGAAATTAGTTTGATCCAAACAAATTATAAAGCCTGTGTTATAGGTTTGAAAAGAGATGTTGGAATTTTTTCCCTATATCAGTTACTGGGCAGTGTGCACTTACAGTGAAAGCCCCTCTTTTCCCCCCCCCCGCATCCCTTTTTCCAGGGTGGGGGGAGGCAGGAAGGGGGAAGGAGGGGGGTTGCGCTCACAGGGGCATGGGAGTGGGGGAAGTTTCTCTATAAAACTGGCCAGCACCACACCTCAGAGCGTTTTGTTTGTGGGCCTTCCTGCCCTGTTGCCTGATAGAGTGGGCAGCCACCCTTGGTTTCTCCTGTTTGGCCACCCTCTCCTTTTCCCCAAGGAGAAGCTTTTCTCCCCGCCTGACACTGCCATCAGGGAGTGACCTGGAGAGCCCCTTGCCAACCGTCTGTGAGCGAGGTATTTTGTCCCAGGCCACGGTGCTGCATTGTCACGAGCATCTTCCTGCAGCAACTATCTGACCAAGGACCGTGCCATAGCCCTGGGACCAGCAGGAAAAAACCCTTCATTGTTGGCCGTGGAGCCACCATTGCTCACATGGCTGTGAGCAGTTGTTGACCCTCTGGGAAAAGCCCACTCTCAGCCCCCTGATTGTCACAGCGGCCCCCACCTGGGGAAGTAGGACTTTGTTTTTGAAAGTTTTAGCTGCAGCACTGTTGCTTACTTGGGTTTGTTATATATATATATATGTTAATAAAGAGCTGTTATTTTCCTTTTCCACACCTTTCACGCGAAGCCTCTTAATTCCAAAGTTATAATAACTTGGCGGGAGGAGTTTGTTTCCTTTTCCTTTGTTTTTTCCTAACCCACCCTCCTTAGCAAACATTTCTGTCTTGCTAAACTAAGCCTATGTTAAAGGAGAAGCCACTGCCTGAGCATTCTCACACCATTAAAAGAGTCACACACACACCACCCAAGATTTTAACTGCTAGGACCAGAGTCCCTTCACAATGAGCAGCTTCAGTGAGCCTGTGGGAAATAAATGAGACGGTTTTATTACAAGCAGGATTTCCATAGTATTGAGAAGCCTTTTTGTGATCAGGAAGGGGGTGTCCTACAATTGCCTATGGCTGCAGCTCTGTTGCAGCCTTAATTTGTTATAGTTACTAATAGTTATAATCCTGTTACCGTTATAGTTACTGTGTGAAGGTGAATCGGGAAGCCTATAAGACAATGAGACCAGACAGGGCTCATTCCCAAGGGACCATGCAGCCGGGACAGGGAAACAATCTGATAGGTTGGATAAGACAACCAATGGACTGGTGAAGGAAGGTGTGAGCCAGCCCTGAGAGACCCAATCGAGTTCAAGACGGCTGTATCACCTTTTAAGGAAATAAAGGAGCAAAGCTCACCATGGCAGGAACGAGAGAGTGGTTATGTAAATCAAGAAACCTTAAAAAGGCTCGTCCCTCCCATTTTGAGGTGTGCTCAGACTTGGTCACAAGGCCAGTGCACCCAGCGCACTGAAATTAAAGTTCTTTGTTTCACTTTATTTGGCCATCTTCCAAAGTTTAATTAGAGATGTTTCTTACAAGCCGACAGGGGCCCCCTTTTGACTCCTCACTCCCACTCTCACATGCACACTCACTCTT